ATATTTGATTGTGAATTTCATCTTCTTTTGATTTTCTTTGATATTTCTTTGAATATTTTCTTTTATTTTTCTTTATTTTATTTTTATTTTATTTTATTTCATAGGAACACCCTATTCACTGTGAGTCTAAATTGGCACAATTTTCATTTTGCTCTCTCAAGACAGTAACAGTACTTAGTCCCTACAAAACTAAAACAACACCAAGCAGAAGAAAGAAATAGAATAATTGTTAGGGATATTCCACTTTTAGCAAGCAAAAGAGCAATTAGGACAACTCTAAAAAAATTTGAAAATATTCATATCATAAATATCCAGCTAGTTAAAATGTGGCAAATAGTGATAGTAACTTTCAATAAAGAGAAAGATACCTAACTATTGGCTAAAATGTGATCAATTTCATTTGAAAAAGAGTACCTGAGAATTCTTCCAAAATGAGAGAAGAAAAAGGAACTGGCACAAAGATCAAAATATGTATTTAAACTAGCAGGTTTGTTAGTAGGCACCACATCTTATGATCTAAAAAAGATAGCAAGAAAAACAAACAAAAAAACTCTATACATTCCAAGAACAGACAGATACTTTAGGAAAAGATTTGCATATATGGCTTTTGAAACAGAGAATCAATTAAAAGCAGCTAAAACCCAAACCTTTAAATTGGATAGAATGATGATCTAATTTGAAAACCAATTTGAGAAACTGTATTACAAGTGTAAACAAAGTGAGCATATCACCTTTCAGTATAACGAGGTAAGAGCGCAAAGAGACAAAGCATTAGCTCAAGCAAGATTTGCATCAATCCAGTCAAGATTCAAGAAAGGGTCAAAAAAGGTGGCTCCTATATTCTATGTAGAAATTTTGATACATCAAGATCCATCTATAACAAGGAGAGAAGAGGAGAATAAGAAAAGATAAGAGAAAGACTGGACAAGTTAGAAGAAATAATTAAAAACATGAAAACAAAATTAATATACTATGGAATTGGTGGAATGAGTCGCAAGAAGAGCAGGAAAATCAACAAACCAATAACAAGAAACCAGATGAGCAACAAATACAATATCAAGATGTGGAAAAAGTAGTCATGGGAGAGAAAGAAACTTTTTTGGCAACATACAAGGCAATCAATAAGGAAGTGACAAAAAGACAAGATAAACTAGAAAGGCAAATGAAACAGATAGGGAAGATGCTAAGCAAACTTTTAGAAAATGATCATCTATCACCTAGTAAGAAGAAACAACAACATGAAAGGTAGTAGGAAACACAATACCTAACAATAAATTCAAACAAGTATGACAGTATACCATAAGGATAAATATAATAATTCAAAAAATATTAACATGTACAAAGAAAAAAGAATTGATACAATAAATATTAAAATTATAACAATAAACATGAATGGCTTGAATGAAGAGTTTAAAAAACAGCAACTATAACATTACTATTATAAAAACAATATAAATATAATAAGAATATCTGATACAAAATTCAAAAAAGCAATTAAAAGGAAAACAATAAAAGACAAAAAATACAAGACTTATTGGACAAATACGGAAAAACAATTTGGAGGAATGGGGTTAATTGTTCAAAGAGACTGGACTAAATATATTGAAAAAATAGCAAGATAGCAAGAAAAAATTTTGACCATGGAACTAAACTTTAAAGAGGGGTGGAAAAAAAATAGGAGTGATACAGGTATATGTACCACCACAATTAAGTCAAAAGAGAAAATGAACGATAGCAGAAATGAAAAAAATTATAACAGAATAGAGAAAAAAACAAATAATGAAAATAATAGTAATAGAAGATATGAATATGACAACAAAAGACAATATGGACAGAACAGGAGAGAACAAATCAAAAGAAAAAAAGAAATAGATAGAATTGCTCAGGGAAATCAATCTATATGACACTTTCAGACAATATAACAAAAATACAAGCAAATACATATAGGGCAAAGAATCAAAAAGCAAAATAGACATGATATGGCTTTTAGAAAATATGAGAGAACTATACAAGGCCTTATCCATATCTGATATCAGACAATATTTGAATACAGATTACAAGGCAGTGAATATAGAAATAAACTTATATACAATTACAAAAAGGATCAAAAGGTTTAGAATAACAAGTAAAAGGAAAGTTTATGATTACAAACAAATAAATAAGGAAAATGGAAAGAATGGAGAAAAGAAATTGAACATGTAAGAGCAGTATGCAGAAATAAAGAGCAACTAAAAATAACAAAAGAGAAAAAGAAATAGAAGAATCAAGTAACAGATAAAAAAAACCAAAAGAATGCTAAAAAGGAAGTGGCAGAAAGATGCATTCCAAAAAAGACTCTCAAAACAGAGGTACAAGAGTTCAGTAAAAGAATAAAGACAACACAATTTACAACTTTCAAAAAACTAAACAAGGCCATAAGAATTGCAAAAAAAATGGATAAAAAAGATAATACCAGAAACAAAGAAAAAATAATGCAAGAAAAAGTCAAAATCAATAAACATATAAGAGCATTGTCAAAAACAAAAGTAAACTTAAGATATTTGAGTGCAATGGAGAAAATTAAGAAATGGAGAATAAAGACAGAACAAAAGTAAAGAGACTTGAGGAAACTGTGTGAGAGTGAAGCCAGATCTCTCAAAAAGCAATAAATTCTAGAAGCAATAAAGAAAAGAGTAGAGAAATAGCAAGAAAATAAAAAACAGAAGAACCTAATCTCAAGCATCTTGACATGTGACACAGCAAAAGAGCAAATTGATAGAATATGGAATCAAGTCATGAGATATATGGAACTAGAAAAAGAAAAAGTTAAGAAACTAACATAGAAGCACTTCGACCAGCAAAATAGAACCAAAAAGTGGAATTTAAAGAACTATTGAAGAAATTGACTAAAGGAATACAAAAATCTAATGGTTAAAATAGGAAATAGAAAGAAGGTGAAACAGATGGAACCAATATCAAAAGAAGAACTGGAGGAGGTAAAAAGAGGAATAGCAAACAAAAGCATCAAAGGTGTTAGAAATATCATATAAAATACTAAAGAACTGTGGAAAGAAAGAGTGAAACAAATTGAAGAATCTGTGAAACAGTATTTTAGAAAAAGGGGAAATGCCAAAAAAGTAGAAACATTCACGAATCTACCCAATTCCAAAAATAGAAGATTGGCAGAAACAAATGGACAAACTAAGGCCAATAGTACTAATAGAGACTGGAAGAAGAATCTTTTTCAAGATAATCATAAAAAAAATAGATGAAGTGTTAATAATAGGAAAAATCCTACAAAAGAACAATTGGACAGATATCTTAGGTGAAACAACAAGTAAGCCAAGAAAATGACTCTTAATGATATCACTTTGATATCAGTTTGATACTTAAATTTATTATAAAAATATATGAGTAGGTCATAATTCATATATTAAATTTACTATAGATCGACACCATTTTGATACTAGTTTAATATCAGTTTGGCACTTTTCAGAGTTCTAGCCAAGAATAATCTTACAAAATATAATGGAAAATGTGCAAACAAATAAAAATGAGATGTGGATTTTACTACAAGACACAAAGACAGCATTTGATTTGGTAGAAAAAAGAGCTTTAGAAATAACTCTAGAAAGAATAGGTATCTTATAGGAATTGATAAAAATAATTCTAAAAATGTGAGCAAACAGAACAGCAGGCATAATTACAAAGTATGAAACAATACAAGAATATGAAATCAAGGATGGTTTGGATCAAGGAGATCCTATGTTACTCTTGCTATGAAAAATATTTTATAATTTGTTAATTAGCAAAATAAACAAGACAAAGCAGGAATATAAAATGAGCAACGAATGGATTAGAAACTTTGCCACAGGAGAAAAATAAAAAAATAAGTTACAATAAGAAGTATAGTCTATATGAATGACATGACATAAATAGCAAAAGTAAAAAAAGAGATGGAAAGTATACTGAAGCTAGCAGAAGAGTTCTACTATATAAATGATATAGAAGTCAATACAGAAAAATTCAAGCTAATAGTACTAAACACAAAAAAAAGAAACAAAAGCATAAAATTAATAGGCAAAGAAGTCTTAGCAAGTAAAGAAGCCAAAACAGAAAGATTTTTAGGATTTTGAGTACAAAAAAAATCCAGAAAAGCTACACAATTAAAGAAAATAAGCCAAATAGTAATACATAATCTCAATACAATAAGGAGGAGAAAGATATCAGTAGAAATAGTCAAATATCTAATAAATAGAGTCATCCTTCCAGCAATAAAATACCTAACAGCAGACATACATATTAAGAAAAGTACAATAGCAAAATGGCAGAGAAATATAAATAGAGTGTATAAACAAAAAAACAGTTTTGTGAACAGTTTTTCAAACAGTATATTAAGAAGCCAAACACTGAGTAACATTAAAGATATCAAAGAAAGATTAGCTCTAACAAGATTAAACTGTTTGGAAGCCATTCTAAAAAATAAAGAGATACTTAAAAGCATAGGAGAAATCAGACTTGTACAACTGCAAGAGGAAGCATGGTTAACAAAAAAAGTAATACAAAATAGTAAAAAACTGCATAAGAAAAAAAAAGAAGTATAATCACAAACATGATATATAAGAGCCAGAAGCAAGGTTTTAAAATAGAAACAGAGAAATAGGAAAAAATAACAAAAAGAAGGGAAATAGCAATTACAATAGGGGTGCTGGATAAACAAACCTACAAACAACAAAAGAGAAATATAAGAAAATAGAAAGTAATGTATATGGAGCAAATAATAAAAAATAACAATATAAAGCTAATGAATTGGGAAAGAATTAATCTAGGACATGGTAACAAAAAAAAACCCCTCAAATGGTACAGTATAATGGAGAAAAACTGGAGTAAAATTCACAACAAAATAACTAAAAAAATGAATTAAAAAAGTCAATGGAAGCATATAAAAATGTTTAGGATAAACAAAGCAGTAGATATAAATAGGATAAGATGGATTGTATTTGGACAGGAAAAGGAAGTAATAGTAGAAAGAAAAAAGAGAAAAATCAATATTGAACTAGCAAGAATATTGCATCATGAAGAACACAAGGAGACTCAAGAACTAAAAGAGTGTAAAAAATGTGACTTAAATGAATTCAATAAAGAAAAGGAATACCAATTTAATAAGAAAATAGCAGAAACAAGATGGCCAGCAGTGAAAAAAATCAAGATGAAGAAAAACAGTAGGATCCTATATGTCAAAAAAAGAATACAAGAGTCATAAGAAGATCTGAGAATGAGAACAGTACATGAAAACAAAAAAAAGAATAAAGAAGGTTTCTGACAAGAAAATATATGCAGATGCAGCATGAAACAAAAAGATAAAAATAGGAATAGGGGTATGGAAGTATATAGAAAATGGTGAAGAAATAAAAAGTAGAATATGAGAGAACATAACACAAAGTACAACACAAGCAGAATTGGAAACAATAATAGTAAGTATAAGTGAAATTGAAGAAGAAGGAGAGATCAAAATAATAATGAATCTAAAACTGACAGATAAATATATAAATAAAAGTGAAAGAACTAAAAGAGAACTATAAAGACAAAACAAAAAAAGAGCAGTACTAATAAAATTAAGTATGACAGTAAAGAAAAAAGAGAAGGTAAACTTAAAGCAGAATAGATAAATGAATGTAATTAAGACCAAACATTTAAAGAGGTAGATAATGAAACAAAAAAGTAACAAAAATGAACAAAGAATAAAAATGAAAAAAAGATTACTAGTAAAGACAAGAAAATAACATAGGTGAGGAAACACAAAACGATAGTTAAAAAAGAATATGGAAAATTGGCAACAAAATTAGAAATTTTCTAGTATATATAAAATTTGAAAGAAATAAGCAAATATAAAACTATATAACAAGACAACAAATCGATTGGGAAGCAATATGAAAATAATACAAAGAAGTACAGTAGAATAATAAGTGAAAAGAAGGTAGTAACAGGTGGTTGGAAAAAAAGTTTAACAGTGAACTACTGACATTGGAAAAAAAGAAAACAAGAGATAACAAAAAATATACCAAATATAAGAAATGTATAAGATATAAGGAAAAAAAAGAAGACCAAATATATGTATGAAAGTGTAGAATGGCAAAACTGCAAATAATAGAATTAAAGAAAAGAATCAAAGAAATAATGGAGCAGTATATTAACAAAAAAACAATGATAAATAGGAAAGAAAAAAGAAAAGAAGAAATTGGAGACCAAGTATAAGAAAGAAACTATCGA